TTTTGGTTCTTCTTCTGATGAATACATTTAGTGTCTTTTTATATTTTTAAATAAAGGCTCTAAAGTGATACTTTGTTATTTATTTTCATCAGCACTACTTACATCGTTACATTTTCCATTTGTGTTCTAAGTCTTTTTGTCTTTTAGGGCTACCCTTTGCTACACTAGTCCAGATCATCACTTAACCAGACGACCTATCCGCCCAATTAATCTAGATTAGCAAGAGTTCATTGTATCTGTCTTCCTCTAGCATCCTCTGTGTACTTTCCAACTTCAGACAATACAGTGAGCTGCAGCTCTTGCCACGATACACATATCCTGCTGTACTTCATATGCACGATGCACTACTCTTCCTCAGTGTGAAGTCAACACGGTGTACAGTGGTGCCACGGACAACTCTCAGCATCTGGTACAGCACTTTACACTGTCGCTTGCACAGCCCCGGCCTCAAAGTGTACATAATGATACATTACAGTCTTATCTACTTGGGTTCACGAACAGTATGTGATATGTGCAATATTAGTCATAACATGAAAACATTTCACATAAGTACAATACCCAATAGCTAAGTGTACCCTTCTTGAAGAGCTAAGGGGAACCTCCATTTCAAATTCCTGTTGGAAAAACCTAAAATCTTCAAATATTAAATGAGCCTTCCACTACAGTCACTCAATAATATCTCCCATTCTCTATGGAACATGCTGGTTCATTACTGTGTTCACAGAAACCTGCTACTGGTCCCTGTCAGTGAATCTAGCTGACACACTATGACCTTATTTCTTTAAGACCTATCCCAGGAGTATCTTACCATCCACACCAGGGTCTTCCTTTCAGGTCTTGTGACCTAACTAATGTCCACACTTCTCAGCAAACCCTTACATGCTACATGCCCAGCTCATCTCGTCCTCGAGTCAGTAAACCTGATAAAACGACATTGTTAAAAGTACAAATTATGGAAGTCCTCATTCTGCAGTTCAGTGCATTACCCACTGAATCTCAACACTAAAACCATGCCACTGCATGCCCCTTCAGAGTGACATATGACTACAATTTTCAGGCCTGAAGAAAAAGCTAGGCACAAAATTTGTTGTCTGCTTCTGTTGGTTTCTTGCTTAGCTGACTCTTCAACGTAATATCTTCGCCTGAAACAGTGGGCCCTTCTAACCCTTACAGGGACAGGATTCTACTATTCCTACACAAATAGCTTCTGGCATAACAAATACCTGTATTATGAAGCATTTTTCCTGTAGTCATGGCAGAAACTTTGAGACTGTCCATCTTCAGCCTGAAGTTCATGAACTCCTTGAAGGTGAGGGTGACACTACTTCCATTCTCACTGCTCCACAATAAAAGAACAGTGGGCACCAACCAGTGAATACAAACGTCTCTTAGGAACTGTTAACAAAGAAAGAGGCCAGAAGATTTAAATTAGAAGCCTCATACTGCTAGTGGGCTTTCGGCTGAGATGGAAATTTGCTGCTTGCAAGTGCAGGGTAACAAGTTTCCCCGGTCCCAACACAAACTTATCACATTCTATAAAAACTGTTAGAACAGTGCCCCATCTGTCTTTAAGCATGACTCAAGGCTCGTAGCAAATTCTTCAGTTCTCAAGTAAATAGATTCTTCATGTCCGTGCATAAAGTACGTACAACACCAATACTTTTACATTGTGTAATGGCACTTGCACATTCTACAGTAACCAGCTGGAAAAACTGATTGCTTCCTGCATAACCTTAGGTTCAAGCAAAATGTAATTAGTCTTGTGGCTGTGGGTACAGATCCCAGTGCAAACTGCTCCTTGTGTACTGGTCTGTATATATCGTTGCATATCTCAAACCTCTTCTTTAGTCTGCACATTGTGCTGAGTTTGTCTCGCACGACAAAATTACGTATCCCGCTGTCGGCCAACACTGCATTGGCACTTTCCTTTTACCTGCAAGATCTTATGCCGATATATTTTTCGACCACATTACTCAAAGAGATTTTATCGCTTTTTAATTTTTAAATCGTTACAANGCTGTAAAATAAGCTCCAATACTCTTTCACATCACACCAACCTCACAAACAAAATGGCTACCTTAATCACCTTCATTCTTTGGCCGACACTAGCGCTGTCGAGCAATCATCTGAATGTCTTTGACATGTTCATTAAAACATTACTTATTCGCGTTGTACTTGAAATACGCATTTAATTAGTACAGTTTTCCCCCACACTCACAATTCTATCTCGATAGGTCTACTTTACATTTAAAGAAATTCAAAGAACTTTCCTCAGAGATTTAAGACCAAGAAGCAGTTTAGTTATTAAACATTACGTTCATAAATACACTTCCTGTCGGCCACAATCGTCATGATAGCCGAGAGGTCTAAGGCATGCACTGTCTTCGCTCGCTCGGAAGCTGGGATCGTTGGTTCGAATCCCACTCAGGGCTTGGATGTTCGGTTGCGTTTTTGTGTTTGTGTACAGGTAGAGGCCTTGCGACGAGCTGATCACCCGCCCAAGGAGTCCTACCGAATGTGTAAGATCTAAAAACCGAAGTGAAGGGATAAGTTCATTGAGGTAGGCCTAGGGCCACTGGGCCTGTAGTGCCAAAAAAAAAATGCAGTTCATACGTAACAGAAAAACATTATTCATGTTCATTACAAAGACATATCAGCTGATTACTCTTCATGTTATTTCACGACGCTTCCAGTATCTAAAAAACTATGCATGTATACCCGTAACCTGGCAACGACAGTGAAATAAGCTGCTATTAAAAGCTGCTGCTAGGTATTCGCTTCGTAAAAAGAAGCCGTTGCTAGGTAATTGCTCTGTAAACACAGGGCGTTGCTAGATAATCGCTCTGTAAATAAAAGTTGTTGCTAGGTACTGTAACGTGTTTCTTGCCACTTAAGACGCCTTTCGGATTGTTTAACGGTTTAGTTAACAACCTACAACCTTCCGAAGGTGTTACATCACCGCTGGTGGGGTAGGGTAGGTAGTAACGTCAGCTCTCCGATGCCGCCACGTCAGCGCTCCGACGCCACGTCACAGTACATTACGTCACCAAGCGACACGTGGCCAGGCTCAGGCTATATAAAGAAGCAGCTAGCTTGATTCTTCAGTTTGATTTCCACAGTGAGGTGAGGAGCGAGATATACAGTGACAGTGTGCCATTACCAAGGAACGACTAGTAAAAACTCGGCGCTTGCAGTGTAATTTACGGAGTGTGTAGAATAGTGAAAGTGAAATAGCTACACCAGGTCTTCATTGGATTTAGCGGTCTGAACGAAACCCGTGTTAGACGTACTAAATAGTATTTCGTACTATTGTAAGAAGAAGCCACGAAAATGTGGAAAATATCAGCCGTGATTATAGCATGCGTATCTTTTTTGGTACTTCCCCAAGGAGGAATATACCCAAAAATCCCAGGATTGGAACTATCTACTGCACCTGGACCATTCTCGGCACTTGGACCCATCCCAGCATTTGGACCCATCGCAGCACCTGGACCCATCGCAGCACTTGTACCATTACCAGAAACTATCGCAGAACGTGGACCCATCCCAACACCTGAAGCGATCCCAGCACCTGTACCATCACCAGTACCAGAAACTATCGCAGCAGCTGGACCCATCCCAACACCTGAAGCGATCACAGCACTTGTAACATTACCAGTACCAGAAACTATCGCAACACCTGAACGCATCCCAGCACCTGTACCATTACCAGTACCAGTATCAGAAACTATAGCAGCACCTGGACCCATCCCAACCCCTGAAACTGCCTTGCAGCCAATCCAAGACCCAGAAAGAATTGTAGCTGGAACCTGCGCTAGAACAAAGAAAGCAGAGTATGCAGTGTCCCGGGCATTTCAGCGGAGAACATCACAAGAACGCGAGTATTTCTGGATGCTACTTGGTGGTCCCCTGTTCCTCAGCCTGATCACACTCACTGCGTGTGTGACTGTGTGGTGCCACCTTCGGCGAGTTTCGTACAGGGAACATGAGAGAACACAGAAACCGGCACAGTCCAAGATGTCAGTACACCAGTGGGAATGTGTACAGCTAGAGATGAGAGACGTGCTGGCGAAAGTGCAAAAATCTGTAGAACTACGTGCACAGGTCCAGAAGGAGCTTCACACATCCTCTCTTATGGTGAAGGAAAGAGACGAAAAACTTGTTCAATTAAGGAATGAGTTGGATAAAATTACCATGATTGTGAAGGCTCAGCGAGAATGTTGCAATCAGTTAGTCAGTGATTCCACCAGGACAGCCGAGATGGAGGAGGAAGAACAACCTCCCCACATTCAGGAACCAGCAA